GAGTGAAGAGAATGACATTATCACTCAAAGAGAATAGAATCACTGAGATGATCACTGTACTTATTTTGGAAAATCAAGTATTGAAGCTGGTCTTTAAAACTGTTAAGAGGGGCGCCTGGGTGGCTCAGTCAGTTAAGCATCCGACTTCAGCTCAGGTCACGATCTCGCAGTCCGTGAGTTTGAACCCCGCGTTGGGCTCTGGGCTGATGGCTCAGAGCCTGGAGCCTGCTTCCGATTCTGTGTCTCCCTCTCTCTCTGCCCCTCCCCTGTTCATGCTCTGTCTCTCTCTGTCCCAAAAATAAATAAATGTTAAAAAAATAAAAAATAAAATAAAACTGTTAAGAGACATATTATAACCTATGGAAATAAACAGTTCAGCATATAATTTATCCACCCACTAAAATATATCCTAAAAATTATCTGAAACTTCCTTTTATTACATTGTCCCTTATTAAATGTGTATTAATGAGTGTATATTGACATTTCTTTATTCCCAATACCAAATTTGATTTGTATTATCTAATGTCAGCATACTATCTATCCACTCCTTATAGAAGGTTCCTCTGCCCAAACATAGTAGATACTAATTTTTAGTTACTTTCAGCAAAAGTTATGCTTTCCTGTGTATCATTTATTGTCTATTCTAAGTCCTTTTTTGGCTAAAAAATCATGTCATAGGCAGGCTTTTCAAAATACCATATAGCAAGTGGATTTTGCATCAGTGGGATGCTGGGACCCTTTGGAGTTATTGGTTTGTTATATTTGGAATTCTGATGCTTTGACATGCTGCCGTGCTCAATGAGTCTTTGTTAAACTGAAAGGTTTTGCTTTCTGGAAGTTTTGGGCAATTTAAAAATAAGCCAACGTAGACCATAGTATAGTTGATTATAAAGTTGGCTTCCAGTTGTTGAGTGTATGTGACAGGCACTTCCAAGATAAGCCATATGGAAGTAAAAATGGAACTAGAAAGAAAGGATTTCCCTGAAGCACAGTCAGCAGACGTACTGGATCAAATCCTAGGCAATATTTCCAATGACAAGTATTTCTTTTGAATACATTTAAATGGTTTATCATTCCATCAACTTGCTTTTAATAGGTTGCCATGAAAGAAGGGATATGCCTTAATTCCATAGCATGCATTTAGTGATGGTCAACCTGTTCTTTGCATAATTATGGAGAAATGAAGCTACCACAGAAGAGTTATAATCACTTTGTGATAATAAAAAGAGTTCTTTCCCCCAAATTTAGCCAGAAATCTGAACTGTCTTACTTAGTTTAGGCTTCAAAGTGAGTTACTGGATGAGCCTGCCTGACAGGTTCTGCTTCTGTCCTTTTTCACCTCGGACACTAACACATTCTCTTCTCACAGCTGACTAGGGCCCAGGTAGAGTAAGGGAGTTAATAGGAAATCTCACAGCTATGTATTTGAAGAACCAGCAGATGTAAGCATACCTCTGTATTTAGTCAGTAAGGCTGATGGATTGGGGGCAGGACTGCACTCATTTCACTTTGGTGTCCCCACAGTTGCTAAGACCTTGCCTTCCACTTGGAGAATCAGCTGGGGTTAATAACATGTTTATTTTTTTTTCACATATAAAATGGTTACTTTTTTTGTAAAAACAACCATAAAAATTGAGAACATAATCTAACTGATAATTAATAATATCTGTTGCCTGTTGAATGCCTATTGGATTTAGAGTTTTAGGTGCATGGTTTTTGAGCCTTATGCTAGCCCTGTTGTGTGGAGATATTGTACCTATTTAACAGATAAGGCTGCTGGACTTGGGTCCTGAAAATAGAGAAGCAGCTTACTGGCCATCCAGTTAGACTCCCCAGCCTTCTGTGCATCAGTCCTAAAGATCACTTACAGTCCGTCATTTCAGAATCACATAGGAAAAGACAAGCACCAGAATTTATGTTCAGGAGCTGATGCCTTCTAGTTCTTAGATGTTCAGAGGGGAGCAACCTATACTGGGCTCTGTGCATAAAGCCTGAAAGTGGTGACTCTCTAGAAATACCTTATGAGATTTTCTCCTGGGGAGGGGGGTGGTGGAGGGAGGGGCAGTTGTCAAAGTAAAACATTTCAAGAGAGGATGGAGCTAGTGCATTTCCAGTAGCTAATTAGGAAAAAAAATACATTTCTAATTGTTTTCTTGGGTCCTTTTTTTCCCTCACTACACTTTTCAATTGCTTTCTAATGTTGAAATCAGAAATTATTTGTTTAGTGTATGACTAAAAATGAAGGACTTAAGAGAATGTCCATAAATCTAAAGCCTTAAATATAGTCCTTAGAAATCAGCTGAAACCATGAAGACCACTCAGAAAATATGGGGGAGAAAAGAGTGCCAAGTTCTTACTAATGAAGGGGACAGTGTATTGCTGTAGCTGTTCTGAGAGGCTTTAATCCTGCTGCTGAGACCATATGTATGCATGTGTACATACACTAAAATATTTACTTTTTTATAAACTGCCTTTGTGAAATATTTCTTGAGAGAAAACAGCAATGTTTAAATATATTTGCTTTTTAAAAATTGCTCCATTTTTCTGCCGTTGAGTTTGAAACATTTTAGAGAGTAAGATTCAAGTACGTTATTTAAAATTAATACAAAAGTTTTCTTTCCTTCTTTTAGCTAAAAATGTTCATAACATTCACTCCTTATAGTAATGTCTTCTGGTATTCTTTTTTTCTAAAAGAGTCAGAGTCTAAGTCAGTGATAGTTGCAGTGTTAAACTTATTACTGGAAGTATGAGAATGATTAGTTGTAAGTTCAGTTTTTCCTGTGTCTTAGGGATAGAGTGGAGCTGTAGATGGAAAATCAGTAAATAACGGAACAATTTTTCCAGAGGTCACATAAAAGCTGGCTCTTGGTTATTTCCTTCATTTCCTTTGTCTTATCTCACCAAAAGGTCTGATGGTAATCAGTTCCCAGCTTTGAAATACAATTGCATTGAATTTGGTTTAGTGCATTGTACTGGCTTTATAGATCATTTCATTGTATTAACCTCTTGTTTTTGTGTCTGTCATAGCGATATTTGTCTTTGTGGGATTTGACTTGTTGGTTTTGATTTGAAAGGGTTGCCATCCCACTGAAACTGTTAAATAATGAGTTTCTCTCTTCATTTTTTAACTCAACACATTGCTGGCATCCTCTGCAGTGTTGCAGTAAGAGGTCTCCAAAGTTACTTTGCCCGTTGTAGGGAGACATCAACTTGATATCTATTTTATGGTTTAAAACAGAGCCTTGGCTTAATGTTTGTGATTTTCTTTTCCATCTGAATCCTGGCTACTTAAGTAGTTAGTATTGGCTCTATTCAGGTAGTATCCTTTGCGAATTCATCCACATACAACTTAGGTTTTAATGGACGGTCAGAGAACATACGGAGGTACTCAGTTGGGGTCATGCTACACAATGTTCTCCGTAAAGAAGTGTCTTTCCCTTGTGTTGTTGTTCTTAAGTTAGAACACATAATAGAAATATAAACATAGAAGAATATAGTATGTACCTAGGAAATTTGTAAGTATCTTTTAAAAACCCTATTAAGACATAAATTGCCCATCTTAGTGTGAACCACTCTTGCTTGTTTTTGTTTGTTTGTTTGTTTTTAATAAAATATGTAATGTTTGTGTGATCTCACCATTGAAATAAAGACACAGGAGTCAAGCCTTGTGAAATCAATCTCGACCTTACCATGTAACTGTACATTAAAGTGGGGTTTCCCCCCTTTTTGTTGACTAGGTAATTTGATAGAGAATAAAACTTCTGCCTTTTTAGAAGGTCCAGTATCTAGATAGAAGGAGCCTGAGTCCTTTGAGCAACAGATGCTGCACCTGGGAAACAGAAAATTACAATATTATTCACAGAATGCTACTAATATTTATATTCAACATAAAAGCAAATAATTATCTAGCAATTCTATTCACTGGACCAAAAAATTCTAGTGTCTATGATGATAATGCCTCATTGCTTTTGTTTAAATCCAGAGATTATGACTTTCGAATCTTTCTTTTTCAAGGTGTGCTTTCCTAATATAAAATGGGACTAGATTTCTTTACCTAGAGAAATGCATTTCAGTGAAGAATTACCCCCACCTTTTCTTGTAATCTGAGATAGAATGGGTAAATATGTTCTTATCTATGACCTTACTAGAAAATATAGTGTTGTGTTTATCATTTATGCTTTTTAATACCCAAAGTACACATTCAGTAAGTTGAAACACATTCCAGACTTTGAATTCATTATTTTTTGTTGCATGTTGAACTAATTGGCTTGAATACTTTTATATGCTTCTGTTCAACTCCACATACAAATTGTAGAGTATTCATCTGAAATGTATGAATTTTAAATTATTTAAACTTTATACTGCTAGTGTATGACCCTCTGAGACTTTTTAAAGAACACACAGCTCTTTTCCCTCTAGACATTACAGATTTAATTTGTTTTAGATACGAAGCCATTTATCTTGTATTTTTAAAAATGCTATGTTGTTTATTATGCTTTGATAGATTCACAAATTATTTCTACTTTTCTTTAAACAAATGTATTTGGAAATTGTGATAGTTCAAGATGAAATACCTTGTGCCTTTTAAGCCTTGATGGATGAACACTAACTATCCCACCATGTCATTTAAATGGCTGAGCATAATCTTCCTGATGCGGTCCATAATATATATCCCAGAACAAATTTGTGTTTTCTTTTCAAGTACTCTAAAATTTCAAATACCTCTTTCCTTATTTTACTCAGCAACAATCTGCAATTTATTTTTCTCCAGGAAAATTGAATCTGTTACTGCTTAGTATTCCTACCAGTTTGAAAAATGTGGTTTATATTGGCATCAGAGCAGTAATTTACATATATTGGGATAACAGGAATGCGTGCCAGAAAAAGATCAACATAAAACGAAATGCAAAAAAGCTGTTTTTCTTCAACAGCAACTCAGAGTGAAGCTAATAGAGAAATTGATGAACATCTGCCCTGAATGTGTCACTTGTTTCTTCTAGGTGAAGTGTGACCAGTATTGGCCCAGTAGAGGCACAGAAACCCACGGGCTGGTCCAGGTGACGCTACTTGATACCGTGGAACTGGCCACGTATTGTGTTCGAACATTTGCACTTTACAAGGTTTGCCTTCCCCTCCCCCCTTCCTCTTTCCATTATTTAAAGAAAGCGTCTTTTGAGAAATCAAATATCTTATGACTTTGCTTAAATCTTGATTCCACTGGCAACAGTGAACAATGAAATAATTCTTCCATTATCGCTCAGCAACTTTTCTCCTTGTCCAGCGATCTATCAGTAAATATGGAACTCTCACTCTGAGCAGAAGTGTTGGCAAATGAAGAATAGAAGAACTAGTTCTTTCTGTAAAAATAACAGGAGCATTCCTGATAGTTAAACCTGGAAAATGTAATGCTTCTCACCTAAGAATTTTTATCTTCCTGAGCAAATAGTTGTCATTTACAAATAGCTTGACATTGATATCTCCAAGGAGTGTGTCTTCCCAAAGGTCATATGGTAGGGGGAAGGGATTAAGATAGCACATTTTCACATTACCTCTACCCTGTTATTACCCATCATTGCAACCTGAGGACAGGAAAACAGAATCTCACCTTGTCTTCCTACTTCACAGAATGGGTCAAGTGAGAAGAGAGAAGTGAGACAATTCCAGTTCACTGCCTGGCCTGATCATGGCGTTCCAGAACACCCTACACCTTTTCTAGCTTTCTTACGCAGAGTCAAAACCTGTAACCCTCCTGATGCAGGCCCTATGGTTGTGCACTGCAGGTAAGAACCACTGAGAGCATTTGTGTTTCTCACAGAAGGTTTGCAAGGAAACAAAAGGTTTCTCATCGGATATTCTCTTTCCAAATTCTTGATACTCTGGGATAGTAGATGTCTCTATAAATAACACAGGGGGTCTTTTGTTTTTGGTCAAATGAGGCCTATGCTAACATGAATAGACAGAATTTGATATAGATGAATATTACCCTTTGGAGATAATAAGCGACTGTGATTCATGCTATTTTCTCTTTGGAGCAAAGATAAATAATTGTATGAAACAGAAAAGAATTAAGAATCAATCTTGTAATATCATTCAAGTTTCATCTGTGTGAGGGGATTTTCTTTAAAATGTAAGTAGGTAGGTAGATGAAGTGCTTGACAAGTTCTTGTGACCTGGGATGGTACAACCTTTTTACTATTTATAGGAAAAAAAAAATGCTGAACAAAATAATACTATAAATATAAAAGCTTTTAGCTAGAGTGTCTTATTGCTTAAAGATACCTTCTACCTATTAATATTATCAAGTCACATATAGAAAATATACTAATTTGAGTTTTACAAATTTATTTAACATAATATATACAAAGACCTATTTTTTGGAAGAATTTATTTTATGTACTTGGAGGTAATGAGTATGCATTTCTTTTGAAATTTTGTATACTTTATTATTATTTTTTACTTAATTCTAACATCCTCTGTATCACCACTTATCTTCTACTATATATGTGTTTTTACATTTAAATGATTTATTTTCTAAAATTTTAATTATTTTGGGGCTTCTGGGTGGCTCGGTAGGTTGGGTGGCCGACTTCGCCTCAGGCCATGATCTCACAGTCCATGAGTTCTAGCCCTGCGTCAAACTCTGTGCCGACAGCTCGGAGCCTGGAGCCTGCTTCAGATTCTGTGTCTCCCTCTCTCTGACCCTCCCCGTTCATTCTCTGTCTCTCCCTGTCTCAAAAATAAACAAACGTTAAAAAAAATTTAAATTAAAAAAAATTTAACTATTTTTTTAGAAGAGGGAGGGGCAGGAAGAGAGGGAGAAAGAGAATCCTAATCAGGCTCCATGCTGTCAGTGTGAAGCCTGATGTGGGCCTTAAACTCACAAACCCTGAGATCATGACCTGAGCTGAAAACAAGAGTCAGATGCTTAACTGACTGAGCCACCCAGGCACCCCAACTACATATTACTATATAAAATCCATAATACTACTATATAATCTATAATAATTCTTTGTAATCTGGGTGATTCAAATATGAGAGAATATGGCTCCTTGCACAGACAAGTAAAATTTCAGTGGGAAGTATATAAAAAAAGAAAGAAAGCACCTATCATAAACCACTTCTGTCGTGACTTAATAGTACAACTCTTTCACATCCTATATTATATTTAAGTATAATACAGTAAGTAGATCTTATAAGTGACATCTGTTTTTACACAACATGGGGACAATACCTAGAACAGAATAACCGCAATAAAATTCACCTAACCCATGATACCGTGGTCATTGTTACACAGTGGCCTAGCAGGTTTTGAACAAGATGAAGTTGTTTTTCTCTTTACCAACAATTTTTCCCCAACAAAAACTAATAACACCACATTATGTTTATAGAGCATTTTACAAATTCCAAAGCACTCTCCCATGGTTTATTGTGTTTGATGTCATTACCAGTATGTCGGATCAAGAGAAGAGCGTAGAAGAGAGGCTACAGGGTTTGGCCCAAGTACTGCAGCTAGGAAGCCAGACAGAGTCCCACTAATGTCTTATAATCTAGTACTTGCTCCTCTGGACCTGACACCATGTTGCAGTGTTTCGCATGATTCTGAAACACTACAAAATATTTTTATTAATTTGAGCAAATGCTTTTGCCTCACGACAGCAGACTTCTGGTTTTCGTGCCTGTTGGTTTCAGCAGGCACTAGTGTGACCAGTCTCTATACTCTGTTATACATACTTCTTTGTAGACCTCAAAGAGCCATTGTGCCTGGTGACATGGTGCATCTGCTTGGCACCAGCTCGACTTGATTTTATTTATTTTTTTTAATTTTTTTTCAACGTTTTTATTTATTTATGGGACAGACAGAGACAGAGCATGAACGGGGGAGGGGCAGAGAGAGAGGGAGACACAGAATCGGAAACAGGCTCCAGGCTCCGAGCCATCAGCCCAGAGCCTGACGCGGGGCTCGAACTCACGGACCGTGAGATCGTGACCTGGCTGAAGTCGGACGCTTAACCGACTGCGCCACCCAGGCGCCCCTCGACTTGATTTTAAAGATCATGTATGAAATGTTTCCTGATGGATTTTGGCCACAGGATAGGGAAACAGACAGTTTGGGCTCACTGAAGAAAATTGCTCTCATATGCCTAATGGCAAAAATACAATTCATGCAAATATATATACACACACACACAGATGTATACACAAGCACATACACACACATACACACACACACACGTATACATATATATACATATACATGTGTGTGTATATATGTATATATGTATATGTGTATATATATGTATATATGTATATATATACACACACACATACACAAACATAATAGGAATAAAATTTAGGGGAAGCAAACTTGGAAGTTTTCACAAAACATTGTATTTGCATTATAGTTTGAAATATAGCATTTTCCCTCTTTCAAAACATGCTTTCAATTTCTGTATATTAAAGGAGAAATTTGGTTGATTGATTATTTAAAAATGCAATTTGTCTTCTGTTGATCATAACCAAGGTATAATGCTTTATGTTGGATACTCAGTTGGATCCAAAAAGGTTTGCAGGCAAGTAAGAGAGATAAGATGGATAGCTATAATGCTTTATTTTGAGAAAATACATACACCCCTCCACACACACACACACACACACACACACACACACACACACACCCCTATGTTATGTTAAGCCACCTGGACTCACCCCTGAAAGATACAAACAACTCCAGAGAAATAAGAAAACAAAGATGAATGTGCTGAGCTAATAGCTGTTGACATTTGAAAGTGCTGTGCCTGAGGCTCTGGAGAAGCTTTGTACGAAACAGAAAAATAGGTATATTGGTGAAAGAAATTTATTAGCAGCTTTGAAATAATGAGGGAAAGATGCAGCATGAACTAAAGCTCTGAGAAATGATCTTTGTTCACCCATGGGTTGTCTTATAAGTCTGTGAGAAATCTTGGCCTCTTTATTTAGGAAAGGCCATGTTGCACACTGTTATAGTTGCAAAGCATCATGAATTCTTGATTTGGATACAGTGTATGTTTAAACTTGAGAGAACAGTTCTTCTGATGGAGTAGCAGAGAAAAATTACTACAGACAACAACTGCTTATGTGGGACCCAAGAAATGCTAGTTTATAAATCATCTCTAAGCAGGAAGGAACTTTGCAGAAAGCCACAACAGACAAGTCACAGAGGGATATTGATTACAGATATTGATTACAGAGGGATATTGATTTACATGATCATGTTGTAAATAATCACACAAATACTCTGGAATGTAAATACTGAATTTCATGTTGAGATTTCTCTGCTGATGGATTTGACATTTTTTTCTCTGTAATGAAGAAGTAGTGACGAACTCAAACCCAAGCCTTCTGCCAAACAGATGCAATGAAAATGGAGGGGGTTTTAAATGAAGTCTGGTAGTAGACAAAAAACGGGGGGGGGGGGGGGGGGAGGGGACAGAAAGAGAGAAGATTCATATTTATCCAGTAGTTCTGTCTAGTAATCAATGTGCCAGGACTAAAAAGAGCTATTATGAATAAGAGAAATTCTAACAGTCAATAGTAAGAAAGAGGAGGATAGCCCAGTGTGGTAACCATAGATAAGGCCTTGGAAGGTCAAGAAGGATAGGGTCCACCTCATGCCTAGAAGAATGGTGCCACAAGCACAGAAAGACCAGCTCTAGTCATCAGTCAATTCATACAGAGCATATAAACTCAACATTAGAAGGGCACACTCTGGAGAAAGACTGCCTGGGTAAAATGCTGGATTGTTCCCTGACGGGCTCTGTGCCTTTGAGCAACTTATTTCTTATCTGCTAGCCTCTATTTCTTCACCTGTAAATGGGTTAACACTCTCCATAACATCAAGAATTTAATTAAGGTTAAATGAAATGATATGAAATGATAAAACATTTAGGACAGTTTATAGTATGCAGAAGTATGAAATAATTTTAAATTATTGGTATATTACTGAGTAAGTTTAAATCTATATGTATATTTACAACTCAAGAAAAAATAATCAGCATTAACTTAAAAATAATCTATATGACTTGAACCATGAGTAACCAGATGTTTATAAATATATAATATTTAATCAAATAGGTTTTTAAAAATTTATATATTTTCCACCATGGTAATTACAGCCAATTTTCCCCAGTGAAAGAGAACATGTTCTCATTTACTATGAGTTAAAATCATTTATTATAGGAAATACCTGTTCTTGACTACCTGAAAAACCATTAAATTCTTAAAAGGATACTGTTAAGGATACATAGAAATTAATATGGTAGTTCTTGATGCCTTCAAGGTAAAATTTGAGTTTAGCATTATGTTCCTGCCCCTTTATAATCTAGGCTGATGTCTCCCTCATGCCTCATTGTTCATTCTCTTAGCCACCTACCACTAGCTACACATTCCAAGTACTTTCATCTCTGGCTCTTGGTAAGTGATATTTATCCACTCCAGAAATTCACCTCTTCCTCTCTCTACCTGACGATGTTCAACCTTGTTTCATAATCCACCTCAAGTAGCACATGCCTGCATTGCAAAGGTTGCAAACTGGCCTCAGATGATTTTGTTGACATCTGTGGTAATTTTTTTTTAACTTAAACTTAAATTTTTAATTTAAGTGGAATGCACTATCCAGTTTTCTAAACCTTCCCTGTCCCTATTGTTTTACACACAGCTCAACTCATCCATTTACAGGGATTACTTCATATTATAAACATCTGACTTGAAACTCTGGAAAACCCTTTTAAGCTCATTCCTCATT